TATGACAAGTTTTCGCTTCTTGCAAAGTTTTTTTGAAGTCTTTTACAAATTTCCAACAAGCTTCTTTATTGAGAATTACAGATCAATTATTATTAGTAAACGATATTTATCGGCCTTACCTTACGGCCTTGCCTATCTCCTGTATTCAAATCTGTTGTTAGCTTTTTTATCCCATCACTAGTGCGACCGTATTGAGGAAAAAATTGCCTAACCTTACGCCTTAAGAAGACGTTATTTTTAGTATTTCTTTCACTCACTATTTTGTTAGTAGTTGACGTAAGGGTTTGAAAATATATGTTAAATTACATGTTTTTTTTATACCTCTAGCAGTTTAATTTTTTACTTGTTTTTCTATTTTTTTTTTAATAATTCAATAACAAAGTATTAAAGCGCATTATAAAATAAAAACTTCTGGTCGCATAATATGTTTTTTAACTATGACCAATATTTTAAAATTTAGTAACCATTACATACAAAATAGGACAGTTAATAACTGACCATTTCTAATAAAAAACAGTAAAAAACGTTGGGAACAAACGCAACGAAAATGTAATAACAAAATTACTCCTCTTTAATACAAGCAACAATATTACATTAAATTTGTATTTTTTTATTGAGAAGTTAACAGAAATTAATTAAATCGAATCTCTTGATCAATGATGAAATCCTGGAACTATTGAAGAATATAGATAATTCACATATTATTCAATTTTTACTGCTCAATGAATTCCGTAACGGCGTTATGTGTAGGCAAAACGAATGCACTTGTGTAAAGATGTTGGGAACGTCGTTGTTTGTGTACGAAACAGAACTGGACATAATTTAATAAAAAATAAAGTTTTGTCTCAATTTGAACAATAGTATCCTTAAAATAATTTGTAATAAATATGTATCAGGACAAACTTGAGAACTAATAACACATTATTTTAACATTTTAATTATCTACATTTTTTTTTATAATAATGGCAACAAAAAATACAAATTTTAAAAAAAGGATACCCTTTCAGCAACACACTGAAAATAAAAAATGTTTTATAAAGCTGACATATGCAATAGGGTTTTCTGTCGGCATCGTGTAATCTTCTCCCCTTGATCACACGCAATTGAGTACACTGTATCACTTGTAAAATGTATTTTTCTGTTAATTTTTAGTGTATTTAATTGAAATATTTTTTTCAATTATTAATAATTATAGAAAATGTTTGTTGTAGATTCCAATAAATTCAAATATTTTTTGTATACGGTTTGAATAACATTGTTGTTACCAAACGGAATAACAGAGGGGTTGCGAAGACGAATAAAATTGGTTAATACTTAAAAAAAATATCACCTTCTTCAAGATGTGATATTAACTTTAAAAAATATTAATGTTAATTGTTGTCAATGACTTGTGCACACGCATGCGAGTGCTTCCTCTTCCCACAACATTATCGAACGGCTACTACGATGATAGTGCATCATTTTTTTAATTCTTATTTAATTTTCACAGTTATACAGTATACTATTACTGAGAATACGCGAAATAAGCAGTTTTTTATTGTTTAACTAATTGTTGGAATACTTTGTACAGCCACTCTAAATACGATATTATCATAATTTTCATACTAATAGATAGACTCTAACTATATCGCATTACAGTTGCTTTATGATTAATTTTCTGTAGTATAAATTATTTTCATACAAGTCGCTAGTTGCAGGTCAATTAAAAAGTTAAATAAAAAGAACAAGGCTAAAGGTTCTTTTGTAAAATGATAAAACTTTTATCTTGATATTGGTATATTAACAAACATGTTAACATTGTTTGCTTTTCGACTCGATATTGGAATCGATTGATTGCAAAACTATTGTTGTTTGTATGAAATATACCTGAAAGATCTATTCTTCCGACCGTTCTGGTCGGATGAGTCATGTCACATTTAGACAAGGTTACAAGTTGGTTAGTTAAAAAGGTTAATAAAATAAAAAACGTTAAAGCTTATTTTTGTAAAATGATAAAACTTTATTTTGATATTGGTAAATTAACAGGCATGTTACAAGTTAATAACATAGTTTGCTTTCCGACTCGAGATTGATATTGATGGATTGCAAAATTATTGCAGTAATGCACCCCACGTTATTTCCATTGGGTTTGAAGTATTCTAGTTTGACCATCCAACATCCAAATGGCAGCATTGGACGTATCATAGATGTTATTCGGTTTTTAGTGAAGGGTCGTGTACCCTAGTGTGCATAATATAATTTTAGCTTATTTATTATATAATACAATTATTCTTAATTGTATTAAAATTTACAAATTATAAATCGATAAGTACATAGGTAATTTAGAAGATTAATATAATTAAATACATTTTTTCGTGACTTAAAATTTGTTTGTAAAATTTGTAATTGGGGGTATTTCAAATTGGTACTTTTCATTGAAGAAAAAACGTATTTTTAAGCTAAATATTATTCTTGCTTTGTTGTATTTTCTTCCTTTATACAAACGCTTTTCTTATGGGTCGTATAAATTAAATTTAGACAAACACTTACTTTTTTTAAAGGACAACTGTAGGGTATTGGTAGAAACAATCTAGCCGTCGGAGCCGCTGTAACGTCGTATTTCACCAACATGCAGACATTAAGAGTACTTTTTGAAAACACTGGTTGAAGTACCCAATTATTGTTTTTTTTCATATAGATTGTCAGTTTTACCTTGAAAAACATTAAAAATTCAATTGAAGGCCTTTAAAAAATAAATCGACCGTTCGATAAGATTAATCGATAATCATGGCATTCCCATATTATTACCTGAATGCAGGGGTGGGCAAAATACAGTGTTTTTCAGACTAAATGAAACATACAAGATACATGTATTTTGAAAAACAAAATACGAAACACAAGTACCTATTAAGTTATAAGATACAAAATAAAAAGCTGTAACAAAAGTAGCCTGTCTTAAAAAATATTGAAGTCCTCATATTTAATGTTAAGTTATTAAGACAAATATGTATATATATATATATATATATATATATGTATAATATATTAATACTAAGACACTAAATACAAAACGTATTGGAAATATGTATTTTAAGTACTTGTATTTTAGATACCGCCCATCCCTGTTTGTATACTTAATTATTTATAGCTCTACCGTAATATTCTTTTCTTCAGATATATCTTCATAAACGATCCATTGATTTGATCCAGGTACGTTAACTGTGGAAGTGTTGTATTGTGCGTCGGAAATCAAATTCAGTTTATTTTTTGCGCAACTGGCCACTCTAGTAAGTTGAACAGCATAATAAGGGACCTAGTCATAATAATATGTACATTCAGTAAAACGTATTTGTTTTTTATATTTTTAAATATAAATTTCTTTATTATGCCGCTTGGGACTAATATAATATCCATGACCGACAGTAGAGTTAGTAAGACTACCTGAACAAGTACGCCACTGAAGAAAATAGAACTAAGTATCATAAAAATATAGGCTTGTATGGTAGTCATGGTTATTTTATGTGCCTCACGGAAAATGTACTGAGCCAAATATATGTTTGTATGTTAATAAATCACTGTTTGATTTTCAAATAATAGTCAAACATAAATTTAATCTGTGCTTTAAACAGCCCTTCAATGACGAAATTAATTTGAGTTTTACTATAATTGACTTCCGACTGTATTATAGACAATTAACCATGCCAAATATAATTCGGAAAGTTGATAGAGTACACAATAACCGCTACGCGGTATTTTACAATTATTTTTTTAACGCAAACAAATTATTTTCCTTCTATTGTTTTTTTAATATTTGTTTGTGCAAGTCGGATCGTATTATTATCAAATGCCTTTTCATCAATTCAAGTTCCCATTTTATCAGATTTTAATTCTGAAAAGGTTTTGAATGTCTCGTCATCTCTTCTATGGTTTGACGCATCGACTTTAAGCTGTTATTATTTCCCAATACTTTAAAATAATTTTAATTAAAACCAACTATTTGGCAATAAAAACAAATATAATAAAAATCAGTCCATTAGTGAAACATTAGAAGAAACATTAAAAAGGTGATGAAGAATTCAAAACTTTTTTCAGAATTGAAACGCATAAAATGAGAACTTAGGTATTTGTATACAGAAGCTTATATTTTTCTACAAAAATAGATACTATAAATTCGTAAAAAGTTTTAAAAAAAATCAAATATAAAAATAGATCCCTCTTTCTTGTGTTAAAAAATACGCTTATAAGTTTAAAATATTTAAGAAAAATTGCCTATATAATGTACCTTATTAAATGCAATTAATATTGTTATCACAGTCGCGAGGCCCATTTTATAGTTTCTTTTGATATATAAAATAGCTTTTTTGCATAATAATTTTACGTTATTATTGAAAAAAAAAAGTTTGAAAATTTAAAATGTTTAGATAAAAATTAATATATACATACTTAAAGAATGTGACCTCTAATATGCCATTATCAATTCAGGTACATCATGCATGTGCATGTTTAATTATATTCTAGAACATGATATTATTTAGCAATTATAGTTGTGTTTTTGTACTTGAATCTAGATTAAAAGAAAATTTTAACTTTTGAGCTGTTTTATTTCAGTATTATAATTTGTTGTATTTTTACTTTTTATTGAATTATTGTTTTTGGTATTTATAGTAAAACTAAATATATTAAAACATTTTTGTCATTTTCTTAAAATGCATAACGTAAACGTACAAAGTTGCACATGCACAAGTTTTGCGTGAATACTTAAAATTATGTAACTGATGTTGTTTGTATGAAATATACCTGAAAGATAACTGACAATTATATTTAGAATATCAAAAAAAGGTGTAGCGTATCATATTTGAAGTTGAACAATTGTCTGTCGTTCTGGTCGGATGAGTCATGTCGCATTTAGACAAGGTTACAAGTTGGTTAGTTAAAAAGGTTAATAAAATAAAAAACGTTAAAGCTTATTTTTGTAAAATGATAAAACTTTTTTTTTGATATTGGTAAATTAACAGGCATGTTACAAGTTAATAACATAGTTTGCTTTCCGACTCGAGATTGATATTGATGGATTGCAAAATTATTGCAGTAATGCACCCCACGTTATTTCCATTGGGTTTGAAGTATTCTAGTTTGAGCATCCAACATCCGAACGGCAGCATTGGACGTATCATGGATGTTATTCGGTTTTTGGTTATGAGCTGTACACCCTAGTGTGCATAATATAATTTTGGCTTATTATATGTATGATTATTTTTAATTTGATTACAAATTATAATTCGATAAATGCATAAGTAATTTAGAAGATTAATAAATTTAAATACACCTTTTCGTAAATTAGAAGAATTCTGTAAAATTTGGAATTAGTATTTTTCGTTAATAAATTTTTTTTTTTTTAAGTTAAATTTTATCTTGCTTTGTTGCATTTCCATTATTTATAAAAACGCTTTGCTTGTGGGTTTTATAAATGAAGTTTAGACAAATCACAGATACGTACTTTTTTTATTGGACAGTTGTAGGGTATGTGTACAAATAATCTAGCCGTCGGAACCACTGTTGGGTCTTGTTTCACCAACATGCAAACATTAATAGAATTTTTTGAAAACACTGGTTGAAGTATCCAATTGTTGTTTATTTTCATAAAAACTGACGGTTGGATCTTAAAAATATTAAATGCCTTTTAAAAATAAGTCAGTTGTTCGATAAAACTAATGCTTGAATCATTTCAGTCGCGTATTATTACGAAAATACGAGTTTTAATACTCGAGTATTAAACTATTGTCATACCGTAATATTTTTTTCTTCAGTTATTTCTTCATAAACGGTCCATTGATTTGATCCATGTACGTTAACTGTGGACGCGTTGTTGTGTACGTCGAGTATCAAAAACTGTTTATTTTTTGCACAACTGGTCACTCTAATAAGATGAACAGCATAATAAGGGACCTAAAATTATAATAATATGTACTTTCAGTAAAACGTATTTGTTTTTAATATTTTAAAATATAAATTTCGACGGTAGTGTTATTATTTATATATTTATGATATATTTTAATTTTGTATAACTTCTACCTGAAGAAGTACGCCAGTAAAGAAAATAGAACTGAGTAACATAAAAATGTAGACTGGTATATTAGTCATGGTTATTTGATATGCGTCACCGGTTACCGATTACTGACTGCTCGAAGACACTGAATTTACTGCAGCCTGTAACATGGACAAACCAACGCAAATAAAATATTTGAACCCTAGTGGTTTCTAATTTATACTGCATTAAACAGAGTTTGTTTCGATATATCATACAGCATTTTTATAATGAGAAAATCCCAATTATTTAGAAAAAAATAAGATAATATTCATAGAGTTTAAGATAGATATCTACTAGAGGACAAACTATATGAATATTATCTTATTTTCTCTAAATAATTGGAATTTTCTCATTATAAAAATGCTGTGTGATACATCATTTTAGGTTCACATATGTGTATACTGTGGTGTATAAGTTATGTTAATTATTTCCTGAAACATGATGTTTTTTAAATTATAGTTCAGTATCTGTACATCGATATACTACCTAGATAATAAAACGTTATGGTTTCCTGCTTACAATGTAGTAGGTACGCGTGCTTTCTATTCATTTTTTTTATGGTTTCCCATACTATTAGGATACAATATAAAAAAAGAATGTAATTAGATTAACGTATTGTTATATAAATCGTATTTTTTTTTTAGTAAAATAATGTAAAACCGAAATCTTTATTCGATTCGTTGGTTTTGATTTTATGTAAAATGTCTAACGAATAACAAATTTGTAATTTATGAATCAGTACAAATAATTGTCCTTAATGTTCCGGGTCAAAGTGATCTAAATGTCAAAAAACAAATTTCGGGGAAATGAAAAAACTATTTAGTTGGGCTACGATTGTTGTTGCCTGTGTGATCTACCAACTGGCGTTTGAACAAAAAATAAAAGTCAGACAAACTCGTAAAAGAGTGCGCTGCATCAGGGTTTGTTTTAGACCACTTTGCGTGAAAAAACGAATTTAGAATAATTTGCACCGTTGTTTACCTAATATACACAGTTTTTATTATTGTTAATGTGATAAAAACGTATTTATATTATAAATAATATATATATCGAAATATTATATCGTTATAATATTAATTGTTAAAAGGTATACCTAATTAGAGGTGTAGACTATTGTACAAATGGGTTTCCAATAAAGTTCCAAAGAGAATAAATAAATCGGTAACAAAAATCATTGTACTTTTTCTGATATTTTTCTAAAGTCGTTTTTTTAGTTACAAAAGAAAATGTAAATTTGTCTGGACACCTGGCATTAAGTTTATTTTATTTTACAAAATAATTTCAGTTCAGTATGCGGTCGCCTAAAATTGTACCGAGTACCTGAACTATTTTTATTTCGTTTTCACACATTCTTGTACTAGTATTGCATATACAGTGCGCCGTTTTATACAACATTTTTATATAAAATAAAGTAAAATGTAATAAAAACAATCTATCTTGTTGATTAAACATTTTTTTATTAAATTCTATTTATATTTATATTACTGATAAATGCGTAACTGTGTTCTGCGTTTACAAAATAAAAATTAGTCCATTAGTGAAACATTAGAAGAAACATTAAAAAAGGTGATGAAGAATTCAAAACTTTTTTCAGAATTGTAACGCATAAAATGAGAACTTAGGTATTTGTATACAGAAGCTTATATTTTTGTACAAAAATAGATACTATAAATTCGTAAAAAGTTTTAAAAAAAAATCAAATATAAAAATAGATCCCTCTTTCTTGTGTTAAAAAATACGCTTATAAATTTAAAATATTTAAGAAAAATTGCCTATATAATGTACCTTATTAAATGCAATTAATATTGTTATAACAGTCGCGAGGCCCATTTCATAGTTTCTTTTGATATATAAAATAGCTTTTTTGCATAATATTTTTACGTGATTATTGAAAAAAAAAGTTTGAAAATTTAAAATGTTTAGATAAAAATTAATATATACATACTTAAAGAATGTGACCTCTAATATGCCATTATCAATTCAGGTACATCATGCATGTGCATGTTTAATTATATTCTAGAACATGATATTATTTAGCAATTATAGTTGTGTTTTTGTACTTGAATCTAGATTAAAAGAAAATTTTAACTTTTGAGCTGTTTTATTTCAGTATTATAATTTGTTGTATTTTTACTTTTTATTGAATTATTGTTTTTGGTATTTATGGTAAAACTAAATATATTAAAACATTTTTGTCATTTTCTTAAAATGCATAACGTAAACGTACTAAGTTGCACATGCACAAGTTTTGCGTGAATACTTAAAATTATGTAACAGATGTTGTTTGTATGAAATATACCTGAAAGATAACTGACAATTATATTTAGAATATCAAAATAAGATGTAGCGTATCATATTTGAAGTTGAACAATTGTCTGTCGTTCTGTTCGGATGGGTCATGTCTCATTCACACAAGGTTACAAGTTGGTTAGTTTAAAAGGTTAATAAAATAAAAAACGTTAAAGCTTATTTTTGTAAAATGATAAAACTTTTTTTTTGATATTGGTAAATTAACAGGCATGTTACAAGTTAATAACATAGTTTGCTTTCCGACTCGAAATTGGTATTGATAGATTGCAAAATTATTGCAGTGGTGCACCCCACAAAATTTCCATTGGGTTTGAAGTATTCTAGTTTGAGCATCCAACATCCGAACGGCAGCATTGGACGTATCATGGATGTTATTCGGTTTTTGGTTATGAGCTGTACACCCTAGTGTGCATAATATAATTTTGGCTTATTATATGTATGATTATTTTTAATTTGATTACAAATTATAATTCGATAAATACATAAGTAATTTAGAAGATAAATAAATTTAAATACGCTTTTCGTGAATTAGAAGAATTCTGTAAAATTTGGAATTGGTACTTTTCGTTAATAAAAATTTTTATTTTAAGTTAAATTTTATCTTGCTTTGTTGCATTTCCATTATTTATTAAAACGTTTTGCTTATGGGTTTTATAAATGAAGTTTAGACAAATCACAGATACGTACTTTTTTTATTGGACAGTTGTAGGGTATGTGTACAAATAATCTAGCCGTCGGAACCACTGTTGGGTCTTGTTTCACCAACATGCAAACATTAATAGAATTTTTTGAAAACACTGGTTGAAGTATCCAATTGTTGTTTATTTTCATAAAAACTGACGGTTGGATCTTAAAAATATTAAATGCCTTTTAAAAATAAGTCAGTTGTTCGATAAAACTAATGCTTGAATCATTTCAGTCGCGTATTATTACGAAAATACGAGTTTTAATACTCGAGTATTAAACTATTGTCATACCGTAATATTTTTTTCTTCAGTTATTTCTTCATAAACGGTCCATTGATTTGATCCATGTACGTTAACTGTGGACGCGTTGTTGTGTACGTCGAGTATCAAAAACTGTTTATTTTTTGCACAACTGACCATTTTAGTAAGATGAATAGCATAATAAGGGACCTAAAATTATAATAATATGTACTTTCAGTAAAACGTATTTGTTTTTAATATTTTAAAATATAAATTTCGACGGTAGTGTTATTATTTATATATTTATGATATATTTTAATTTTGTATAATTTCTACCTGAAGAAGTACGCCAGTAAAGAAAATAGAACTGAGTAACATAAAAATGTAGACTGGTATATTAGTCATGGTTTTTTGATATGCGTCACCGGTTACCGATTACTGACTGTTCGAAGACACTGAATTTACTGCAGCCTGTAACATGGACAAACAAACGCAAATAAAATATTTGAACCCTAGTGGTTTCTAATTTATACTCCATTAAAGTGTTAAAGAGTTTTTTTCGATATATCATACAGCATTTTTATAATGAGAAAATCCCAATTATTTAGAAAAAAATAAGATAATATTCATAGAGTTTGAGATAGATATCTACTAGAGGTCAAACTATATGAATATTATCTTATTTTTTCTAAATAATTGGGATTTTCTCATTATAAAAATGCTGTATGATTCATCATTTTACGTTCACATATGTGTGTACTGTGGTGTATAAGTTATGTTTATTATTTCCTGAAACATGATGTTTTTTAAATTATAGTTCAGTATCTGTACATCGATATACTACCTAGATAATAAAACGTTATAGTTTTCCTGCTTACAATTTAGAAGGTACGCGTGTACACTATTAATTTTTTTTATGGTTTCCTATACTATTAACTAAAACGAATTTAGAATATTTTGCACTGTTATATACCTAATATACATAGCTTTAAGTATTGTTAATTTAATAAAAAACTTTTTGATATTATAAATAATATATATATCGAAATATTATATCGTTATAATATTAATTGTTAAAAGGTATAACTAATTAGAGGTGTAGACTTTTGTACAAATGGGTTTCCAATAAAGTTCCAAAGAGAATAAATAAATCGGTAACAAAAATCATTGTATTTTTCTGATACTTTTCTAAAGTCGTTTTTTTAGTTACAAAAGAAAATTTAAATTTTACCCGGGAATTCGTCTAGACACCTGGCATTAAGTATTATCAATTCTGTATGCGGTCGCCTAATATTGTACCGAGTACCTGGAATGCATGTATATTGCATATACAGTGCGCCGTTTTATACAACATGTATATATGAAATAAAGTAAAATGTAATAAAAACAATCATTTTATCTGATTAAACATTTTTTTATTAAATTCTATTAATATTTATATTACTGATAAATGCGTAACTGTGATACTGCGTTTACAAAATAACGAATGGCAAAAAAACAATACAATTATCTCCAATTATTTGCTCGTTTACTATAATTATTTACTCATTTACTCAATTAATTTACTATTTTACTCGATGTTTTTACTCTAACACAGCCTGAAAACATCATGCAGCATGCTTTTACACTTCTAACTTCCGCTCAAAATCACACGAGATTTTATTGATAATATTAGCTGGTTGGCGTTCACTTTGTGGGGTGTTACTAGAGATGAACGAATCACGAACCATGGACTTATCAAAAAAGAGATAAAAAAAATCATCTTAAACGATCCATAAGTCTAAATTCAACATTATTGAGACTTATTGTTTTATGCAAGAAACGTTCTCTTTTTTCGCTCGACGAATTAACATTAAATCATAGATAAGAATTTTGGTTTTTAGCATTACGGGTCTGTATGAGAACATACGTTTAACGAGTCAAACCCAATTGTGTAACACTAATTGTAAAATCACTCTACTAAGTATAATGTAATGTCATACGATAAACCAGTAAAATATCTTTACATATTCAGTTTTTGGTATTGAAATTTTAAGTAAACCTCCCGTTAGCGGCGATTTAAGAACAATTTAGTTTATTGTACTGTTAATTATGTATACTTAATTTTTAAGCTAAGCTACTGCTAAAGCACTAACTATGAAACAAATAATGCACGAAACAGTTATTAAAACCTAGGACAATTTGCGAATGTATTTATAAAATATTTAAATGAACAATTCGTTATTTCCAAATTGATGGGCGCAAGCCAACACAACAGTATATAATAGAAAAAAATAAGAATGTCCGGTATCAGACAAGACATTGTACCACGTCGTTTCGAAACAGTACAGATCTTTTAGTCGTTGAAAACAAATGCATTATTATTGCCATCATAATTTCCTTTTTCGAAAAGACGAACGGGCATTCTTAATGGTCGATAACAGTATTTTATTCGTTTATAGCTTCCGGCCGTACAACGAGCCAACAAATAAAACCAACAACGCGACAACAATGAGAACGAATTAGTTAATACCATGCGACGGACGTTTTCGTTAACGCTTTTGAATTTAGTCCTAGATTCGACAATTAGGCGCATGCGGAACAGAGTGTTATATGTAATAAACATACAGCTAAATTGGATGACAAACGCGTATTCTATATTATCATTTCAAGAGCGGTTTAAGCAACATAATATCTTTCAGTTCAACGGGCTTTATAAGTGTTTGAAAATTATTACACAAACATAATCGGACTAAACCAAACGAATGCGATAAATATAAAAATAACTTCTATTCCGGCGATTTGCTTCACGGTCAAAATCTGCCAATGTCATAAAATATGATATTATATATTTTTAATATGTAAAGCGACTACTTTACCGGCTGTAACAGTTGT